TGTGTGTATGTGTGTGTGTGTGTGTATATATATATATATATATGGGTTTTGGGTTGTCGGAAAAGTCATGATGCATTTTTGCAATGAAAAACATAGAAAATATACGTCATGGCTTTTTTGACACTAAATGCATGTGCCATCAATGAAAAATAAATTGAACTTTGTCAAAATTAAAAACTTGTGTCAAAGGACACAATCAAGAAAGTTAAAAGACAATCCACAAAATGAGAAGAAATATCAAATTATATATCTGATATGGGGCTTCTGTCCAAAAATATACAAAGAATTTTTATAATTCAACAACAAAAAAGCATCCCAATTAAAAATCGTGCAAAGGATATGAACAGTCATATCTCCAAAGAACATATAAGAATATGAAAAGATGCTCAACATCATTAGTCATTAGGAAAGGGCAAATAAAAACCACAATGATATACCATTTCATGCCCACTAGGATGACTATAATTTAAAAAAAAAGAAGGAAAGGAAAGGAAAATAACAAGTATTGATGAGATTGTGGAGAAATTGGAACATACATATATTGCTGGTGAGAATGTAAAATGGTGTAACCACTGTGAAAACCAATTTGGCAGTTTCTCAGAAACTTTAACACAGAATTACCATGTGACCCAGCAATTCATAGGTAAATAACTGAGAGAACTGAAAACATATGTTCACGTAAAATTTGTACATGAATGTTGACTTCAGCATTATTCATAATAGCTAAAAAGTAGAAAAAACCCAAATGTCCATTAGCTGATAAACGGATAAGAAATATGTTATAAATCCACACAATGGAACATTATTCAGTCATAAAAGGAATGAAGTATTATCGCAACATGGATGAACCTTGAAAAACATTATACTAATTGAAAGAAACCAGACACAAAAGGTCACATATTGTATAATTCTATTTATGTAAAATGTCCAGAATAGGTAAATCCATAGAGGTCAAAAGTAGATTAGTAAGTGCCAGAAACCAAGAAAAGGGAGGAATTGAAAGTAACTGTTAATAGGTATGGAGTATCTTGTTGGGGAGATTGAAATGTTCTAGAAGTGTTGATGATGGTTGCACAACATAGCGAGTATACTGAAAACCACAGTACGATTTATAATGGTGAATTTTGTTATGTGAAGTATATCACAATAAAATATTTTAAATATGCTTATTTATGTCTTTTTGTAATATTTTTTAAAGTTTTTATAGAGAAAAAAACATAGCAATTAAAAATTTTCCTTCTAGGGCCGGCCAGGTGGCGCATTGGGTAAGAGCTGGCTTGGGATGCCAGAGGGCCCTGGTTCGGATCCCACATATGAGGGCCAGTAACACTGCCCTCTACAGCTAAGATGCTGAACAACAGCTCAACTTGGAGCTGGGCTGCCATGAGTCGCTGGCGATGGCTAGGCTGCAGCCCCTGCTGCAGTGGGTTACCATGGGCTACCGTGTGTCACCGACAGCCAGCGTGAGCAGCCACCAGCCACAGTGAGCGGCCGTCCAGAAGCCGGCGACTGATCTGCCTTGCCCGGGAAGAGTGCAATGGTGGTGCCAAATTGGGCCAGTGAAACGGCGTCTTCCACAACTAGACTGAAGAACAAAACGACAGCAACTTCTCTGTTCCCCTTCCCCCAATTCCCCAGCGCTGTTCCCATCCCCCAATTCCCCAATAAAAAAAAAATCTAAAAAAAAAACAAAAAACTTTTTCCTTCTATTTTACCTTTACTAAATTAGAATATAAGAAGTACTATATTATGTCAAAAAAACATTTTTAATTATGATTAAGTAGTCTCCAAATTGTTATGCATCTTAGATTATCAGGCTTAACAACTGAAACCTTCACATTCATATTAAGACTCAAAACCTTAATTACCCATGTATTTGAGGGGGAGAGGGGAAACTTCTTCAAATGAATAGACTTCTTCTTCAAATACCTAATGCCTTAGAAAAATAGTTGTGTACGTTTATTCATAGTGTACCGCAGCATCATAAACCACAGACTCCCTCAATCTTTTTAGTTTACAAGATTGCTAAATAAATCAGGAAATACCAAAGGGAACTTAACTGATAGAAATAATGATTGCCTTCATGGAGATACAAATGTGATTGGCTGAGCCTTGAGGAAGTAATCATTCTCTAGAATTCTCAGTTACAGGGGGAACATTTTCTTAGAAGAGGACATTTCATAACTTCCAGGATGTTGATAATTTATTTAAAGAAATAGATCACAATGTATATTTGAATGAAGTACATATTTTGTGGGAAAGGTATTTCAATTCATTTCAGGTAAAGGCAGTTTGCAAACACCAAACATTTACCTCCATCAATAACTGTCAATTTAGTAATTTTATTTAAGAATAAGATAAAGACCATTTTTAAATGGAGGAAATAACATGTGAATACCTTCAGAGATATAAAAAATTATTATTTATATCATTAATTCATTAAGATTGTACATATTATACCTGACATACTTTTAGGATAGCCAACTGAGCTAACTGGATTTTCTTGGTGTAAATCAGTGTGTCTTAAAAGACAAAATTTCCCTCATCCTCTGATCAATCCTGATTTATCAAAACAGGCTCTGGCTATACCTAAGAGCTGAAGTCCCATAACTATTAGCTTCAAAGTAATGTAAGTAACAGGAAGTCTCAGAAACCACTGCTGCACCCCTAGACACCTGTATTGAGGCACAAGTTCTTAAGCATCCCAGACTGGGGGGAAAACAAACAAACAAACATGAGGACATGAGGACTGGTAATCATAGAATTTCCATAATCATAGAATTCTTATTTTTCTGTCACTAGTGAAACTTCTGAGGCTCTAAATTCCACTCTCCTACCTTTACATCTAAGAATAGGCTGAAAGAATCCTTGAGTTTATAATGGGCTTGGGTTCTCAAGTATTTAAAACATTTTACTCAAGTCAAGCTTGATCTTAAAGTCTCACAGAAAGAAAAAACGAGGGGAGGTGAGCACCTTTCATAAATTAGCTCACCAATAAACTGCTATTAGTTACTGGCACAAAGTCATCTGATCTCAGTGAAATAAAGGTGAGTTAATGACAACTATGTCATGTATTTCATGGACTCATTTTAATGCTAAATAATTTTATGAAGGGCTCCCTGAGGTATTTCAACATTTGTTTTCAAGAACTAGTTTTGTTTTACTTTTCAGAAACTTTTTTTTTTAATATTTCATTTCAAGAACTTTCTCTTCAAATGAAAGATATGGAAAACTGTCCTCATACAGTCTCTAGAACTTGTCATAAATTCTTAATCATCTTCTATACTTTATTTGGAATGTCAAATCATAATAAACCAAGTCCTATGAACTAGTATTGATCTGTAAAATTATAAATTGTTAACTTAAGAAAGCAAAGTTGGTGATGGGTCTTGCAGGAGGCTGACTCTATCATGTGACTGTTGCTCATAATTATTTTTATTTTCATTTGCTACTTAATGCCATACGAGATGGTCTGTATTGGTTCAGCTCCCTCCCTATTCCCGTAGAACGTGTCTGTATATGTGAAGTGACAATGGCAATATCAAAGGCTAATAAATACGTAGAAAATCTTTTTATATAAAAATATAATTTTCGGGCCAGCCAAGTGGCATGCTGGTTAAGAGCTGGCTTAGGAGTGCGAACTCTGGGCAGCAGGGCCACCCGTTCAGATCCCATATGGGCCAGTGACGCTGCCCTCTACAGCTAAGATGCTGAACAAAAAACAGTTCAACCTGGAACTGGGCTGCCATGAGTTGCCAGTGATGGTGTAGGCTGCAGTGATGCTGCAGTGGGCTGTCATGAGCTACCATGAGTGGCCAGCAGCCAGCGCGAGCTGCCAAGAGCCACCATGAGCGGCCATCCAATGGCCTGCAACCAATCTGCCTCAGCTGGGAAGAGCGCAATGATAATACCAACATGGGCCAGTGAAGCCACATCCTCCACAACTAGATTGAAGAACAAAAGGACAGCAACTTGTCTGTTCCCCTTCCCCGATTCCCCAACGCTGTTCTCCTCCCCCAATTCCCCAATAAAATCTTTATATATATAAAATTTTCTTCTTTTTTGTTACTTAAAATACCTGATGCTTGCCTCAATTGTATATAAAAGATTACTGCTTGAGTGGAATACGGGAACATGTTTTACGTACTAAAAAGGAATTATAACAAATAAATTCAAAATGTGAATGGACATTTAGCTAATCTCTGGTTAGGAAATACTTTCTTTTTCTAAATAAGACTAGGTCACATTACCTTAAAAAGTAAAAATTTTAAAGAGTAAGAAATAATATTAAGACATTATTATGTAGAAACTTAGATGGGGAAAGCATGTAATTATTTGTACTGAATATTGTTGTGTTGACTATCATCGAGTAATATATCATTGTAAAGCTCTATTGTCAATGAGGCATGGTAAGAATAAAAAAGTTGGTAATTAAGTTTGAAAGGTAAAGAAGTAAAAAAAATACTTTATATTTTTACTATATAAAGGGGATAAGAATATTTTTATCTTGCTTGGCTATAGCTACCATTACCGGGGATAACTAATACTCTAGGCACCATTATAATATGCGAAACCTAAATTTCAGACATCAATTTTATAATTTAATGTTCTAAAAACTATGCACACATATAAACAGATACCTGTACATGTAAAAATACATACATAATAATCTCTATTATACAAATATGTTTCACTACAAAAGAGATTTGTTTCTACTGTTCTTCTAATATAGTCCCAAAATACATAAAACATTGCTTATAATTAATTTTTGCAATACAAGTAAGTCTATAAATACAAGTTTATTTCTTTCCTCCCTACATCAATGTTATATGCAGTTTTACTATATACATATATGCACAGATTCATATACATACAAAAAATTAAAATATGTACTAACTTCTCCATTTGTAAGGATAAATTTACATATGATATTCATTGGATATCAGAAAGAAGCTAGACAATGACTATTTTCAGTAGCACATAGAGTTCATCCTACTTACTGTTGAAGAGCCCAATGCAGATTTTGGAGACCTAATTATTCCAGCAATTGAATGACGAATAGAGTCAAATTTGGATAGCCTCTCCTTTCTTTCCTGGAGAGATTAAGAAAGAAGCCTTCAGCAACAGTAAACTATCCAGTATACATACACAGTTGTGTTAGATATTTAGGTATTTATTTGTGCACAGCTCATGTCTGTGCATCATGTCTTCTAACTATTACTAATAGCTATTATTAATAAATAAAATGAAAACTTGCTGACATTAAAGATAACAAATAACCAAATGCATATAAACTCTACAGCATTTTACTTTCCCGTTCTCTCAATAGATGTCTTAATTTGGGGGAAAAAGATAGAAATTAATGAAAAGAGCGAAAACAAGAAATGTAAAGGAAATTTATGAAAAACCAAGTATTAATGTGCAGTAAAAAAAAAAAAGACACAAGCTAGAAAGAACCAGCCTAACAGAAGATTTCATATAGCACTGTAGTTGTGTGGGATTTTCAACAAAAAATAATAATAATAGGGAAAAAACAGGAGGAGAATTATACCAAACACATTTTTTGACAGTGAATTCCACTTCAGTAACTAGGAAGTTTCCCAAAGATTCACATGACGATGATGATGACAACAGAAAAGGAGAAAATAAAATAAGAAGAAGGTAGTGGCAGAACTACCACTAGGGAAAGTCAACCCAGATTGCTGTTTGCGTAGGATGTATATTTCTGAGTATCAATATACCACAATTGAAGGAAACTTTTCCCTAAGATTTCAAATTTTTAGATCCAGTTTACAAAAGCAAATGAATGGGGTAGGTAAGAAGGTAGAAAAGAAGGGAAAGAAGGAGGAAAAAAAATGAGAACTAGGAGCTAAAGAGAAGAACGACAGCAAGCATGTGTGAGGGTTTGTAATGGAAGCATTAGTTGACGTTCCAATAATAGGCACATTTCAACTGTTCATCAGCAGTAGACAAAAGAACAAGATAGCTTATTGCCAAGTACTGTATTTCCATATGTCTTCCATCAGTAGTGATGTTTCATTTTAGTTGTCAGTGGAAAATGACTAAAGCAGGCCACAAATAACATCTTTTGTTTCTTTTGTCTCCAATACGTAGCCTATGTCTATGTATATAGTACAGGTAGACCTTTGGGGCTACATGCTACCTGATAGACTCAAACTCAAATTGGAAATTCAACTTTTGTCTCTCCACATGCCTACTTCCACTTTATTTACTTTTCATTCTAATAGTTGCAGTGCTAATAGTATTTTATAAACATATGCATATTAATAATTTAAAATAATCTTACGATAACCTAACAGAACAGATAATCTCAACATCTTTTTCATCACCATCACTTACATTACAAACTTGCTTACGATTCTATGTAAGTCACTAGCTATACCTCAGTTTGATCACCTATAAAATGGAAAAAAATACAAACCTTCCTCAGAGAGTACTTCCAAGTAAATTACAACAAGCGGTTAAAAATTAACATGTTACAGCCCATAAATACTTAATAAAATTTACTTTAACAAAATAAATCTTTACTGTAGTACAAAAGTCATCACCTTAGGGACGGGAGCATGCACTTTATTGCCTTAATCCTAGCTGCAGCTTCAGTTTAACTTTTTAGTAAAAAAAAATCACTGTAACAGAGCCACAAGAAATTCCGGAGGGAAGGCAGCGTTGTAGTGCTGAATATAGTGACCTTTCTTCAAAGCAAGTCTTTCTACAACTTGGGTGTTTTGGGGTGTTCTGTTTTGTTTTTTTGTTTTTTGTGTTTTTGTTTTGTTTTGTTTGTAATCTATTTCTGGTGCTTGAGAAGTTTTCTGAATAAAAACGCTTGGGAAAGTAAAAAATGATAAAAGGCACAGCAGCCAGGATATGGAGAATGAAAGAGTGGGGAGTGAGGCATACACAGCAGTTGTTTTGCAATTAGAATTATGAATAAATACATGATGTTATAAAGCGCACATGGTAGAAAGTACTGTAGTAGCTGTAGTATTTTTACTCCCCAGCCCAATTTACACCTTTTCTTATTCCTTTGGGGAATTTCTCCCCTGACTCTGTGTGGTTGTGGAGGGGACAGTGGCATTAGTAGCAGCAGTGATATTACTATTGATCCTGCTGCTGCTACACCTGACAGGAAGATGAAATGGAAGTGGTAACCTCACCCGCTTGGCAATGAAAGCTTCACAAGAAAGCAGCAGGCGCCTCTGCTGTAAGTTTATGCTTCTCCTCTGAGTCAATGCTCTTAAAATACTACACAGAGTATGAGCCCAATGTATGAATACTATGGGGACAGAAGTGAAAACTACATGGGAGGTTATACAGAAAAGGAGAAAATTCAGGGGAGAGTTTTAAGGATCAGAAATCATTTTATATGTATATGATTTAATCATATCCACTGAGGCAGTAAAAATAACTCTCGTCAAGCTACACCTTGGGCATCAAACCCTGCGAGAGGAAAGAGAACCATTTCCCCCAAAAATCCTTTGAAAATATCAAAAGAAAAAACACTTTCTTAAAAACCTAATACTAGATGTCTAATGGATGGGTCCAGGTGTGAGGCAAAACAGACTTCCAAAACCACTTCCTGTATAATAAGTTAGAAAGCATAATATATTGTGTGCTGGAAGGGATACAATTAGTGAAAGTACCCTTTCATTTAAAGGTGCTCTTTAAATAGGTTGATCTACAAAATGTATTATCAGAAACAATAGGTTGACCTTAAGTTTCATACAGGAATAATCCAATGCAAATAGAGTTTATAAAACATTTTCACCAGAGTCAGCTCACTTGGTGCCCGTAGTTCTACAAATAAAACATGGAACTAATTTGCCAAAGCTCCCGTCTAAGTAGCATTACATATGAGCTCTAAATTATGGTCTACCTAATAACACATCAGACTGTGCTGAATTCACTGACAGGTTGATTTTTATATCAATGGATTAAATTGCTACTTTAAAAAATTAAAGTTCAAATTAAAAAGATTCTCTCCAATTAGCATGGATACATGCCTAATTTTGCCTGTAGGCCTGCCTGGACTGGCAATGATACACTCATTTTACCCTCCTCAAATATTGACACGGCAAAGAGCTTTCTCTAGATAAAGGAGGCAGGAATTAGTTATGACAAAACAGGCCCTCACAGTGGACACAGGTGGAGGCCAGTGAAAGGGGGAAAAGAGAGGCAATTTTATGAGATAATACCTTAAGTTATAAAATAATATTCCGATGCGATGTCCAGAAAAATGCTGTAAGCACAGTGATAAATCCATCTTGAAAGAAAAGTTCTAGATGCAGTATCAGTTTCACATCTTATTTAAAAATAGTTATTCATTATTTTAAAATTAAATGAAGCAGGCTCTCCCAATAGCTATCTATAAAACTAGGAGGCCTGTTTCAAAATCATTAAAAGTTTACCTTTACCAATTTAAAAAAACTTCATAAGAAACAATACCCAAATTACTTACAGTTAACATAAAAACATAACTATCAGGTTTTGAAATTACACTTCACTAAAACTCTCAAATTGCAGTAAAACAGGCTCTCAGGTTACCTCCATCCCAGTAACGGCACAGGCAAAGACGTGAAAGGCAAGAATTGAGGTTTTGCTGACTGGAGTGACAGATAAAAATTAACAGCTCTTCCAAATGATAGTGCCACCATCAGTTACAAATTAACGACTGTTTAACCAAAAAGTATGTAACATTTCTCGAAGCAAGGCTCTTAAAGGGGCACTAAGGTAGAAATAATAAGGGTCGTAACGTCAGACAGAATAAAGAGTATGAATCTGGGCAAATTACTCAACTACCCTGTTTCTTGGTTTCCATGTAAGTAAACAGGAGGATACTGGACTAGATAAAATCTTCATCTCAAAAATTCTGTAACCATTGTCCAACTCCCCAATCAACTGCATCACATTGGTCACTGAAAAAACTCCCGCAGAGCAGTTCTCTAGTAACAGGCTGGAGGGCCATCAGTTACTTGCCTTAGGGCATTTAGTCACATTCCACCTCAGGTGCCCTCAGAGCTTGACCCCCAGTGGGAAGCTGAACTATAGTGAAAGGTGCCACTGGAGCACTTTTTTGTTAATAATAGGTCATTAAGACAATAACCAAATATTATTTCTCACAGACTTTTTTAAATAAACCCAATCTAATAACATTCTTGGAAGGAAGAATGAAAGTGATTATTTGGCCCTGTAGGAACAGTCAGATACTTATTCAAATCAGGAGGCACTGAGAATCAAGAAAAAGATAACAATATTCATGCTTAAACTCCGGGCTGAGTGCCAAATATCTTTGGGACTACTTATGCAAAGCATCCATGAAATCCAAAGGGATTTTGTGAGAAATAACTACAGGGAAATTGTAACCCCAGAGAAGATGGTCTCCTGACAAAAATTCTACACTATTGATGACTCCATAATGCAAATGAAATACTGAAAATATTGATATGACCTTCATAAAGGAATGCATTTATAAATAAACAACTTAGTCTTTTCGAGATTTTGATTTGCTGGGGAGAATGAAGGCTACACAGTTTCCATTCCCATCAGGATATAGATTTTAAGTATTAAAATAGTTTCTAAGTGATTTATTTTAGCAATTGGGTTCTGACTGAAGACAAATCATTTTAGAAATATTCACTGCCTAGTTTGTCATGCTGTCTTTTTCCTTTGATGCTTGCATATTAAGAATATTTATTAGAAGAAATACAGCCCCCTTGCTAAGTCAAGCATTTTTGTAGTCTGAAATAATGAAACTGGAAAACAAATGTGCAAAAGGAACATTTGAATTATTATTAAAATTCTGTCTTAAAATAAGAATGCTAAGGAAATTTACAATAGAGTTTGGTGAAAGCTGGGTAGTGAAATGTTATATCATTTTCCTTGCTTTCTTGACTCTATATCTCTTAAATAAGATGAGGTCTCTAGGGAAATGAGACCCAAGCAGGAAGCTATATCAGCTTCTTTCCTGCTCAATGTCTAAATACAATTCACGTCCCATGGTGCTTTTCTTAAATGTATGGGCAAAATAGCTTAAAGATAGTCTTTTTATAAGTTATCCAGTAGTGCAAGATGCACA